ATGACAGTCCCAGCATGACAGTCCCAGCATGACAGTCCCAACATGGCAGTCCCAGCATGGCAGTCCCAGCATGGCAGTACCAGCATGGTAGTCTCAGCATGGCAGTCCCAGCATGACAGTACCAGCATGGCAGTCCCAGCATGGCAGTACCAGCATGGCAGTCCCAGCATGGCAGTCCCAGCATGGCAGTACCAGCATGGTAGTCCCAGCATGGCAGTCCCAGCATGACAGTTCCAGCATGGCAGTCCCAGCATGGCAGTCCCAGCATGGCAGTCATGAAGTAAATATAATCTTGCTTGGCTATTAACTGTTTGTTCTTACAAATATCATCGTAAAATTAAAAGACAGAAAATTAAAACAGAATTTTTTGCATGATTTTAAATGCGACTTCATACAAAACGAAATTAATGAAAAAGTATTAATAAATAAATTTTTATGCTAATTTGCCGTAAAACATGATACAGCTGAGGAACTGTAAGTTATGCGATGTTGGCACAATTTACATAAATAATAAAGTTAATAAGGCTGCAAATAAAGTTTAATCAGAACATATCTCCATCAAGAGCACCCAAATCTACAGTCCCATAGTTAAATTCTTAGACGACCATACGAATGATACGACCTTGGACGACCATATGACCTTGGATTTTATCCCTTGCGGTTTCGAGGTTTCACTGATTTTTTCTACCCCATCAACAAACAGGTTTTAACTCAAAAATATCAATCCCCAATTGTAGAATGCCTCTACACGATGCCTTCAGTTAATAATCCTGCAACCATTTCTCTATTTTATATATACGCCAACAAAAAATTGTCGCAGCGGCATGAATGCCGTCGGGTATTTGAGGCGCTGTAAATAAACACGTTCAGCAAGACCGGTCCAATCAACGGCATATGTGTGGGCAACCGAGGGGCCTCATATAATGATATAAATAAAATAAAAATAAAAATTGTTCGACCTTGAGACCGCATCTACGAGCAGCGAAATTAGGTGTGAGGCTTGTGTACAGTCAGCTTAATGTGAGGCTTGTGTACAGTAAGCTTAATGTGAGGCTTGTGTACAGTCAGCTTAATGTGAGGCTTGTGTGCAGTCTGCTTAATGTGAGACTAGTGTACAGTCAGCTTAATGTGAGACTTGTGTGCAGTAAGCTTAATGTGAGGCTTGTGTACAGTCGGCTTAATGTGAGGCTTGTGTAGTGTCTGCTTAATGTGAGGCTTGTGTAGTGTCTGCTTAATGTGAGACTTGTGTGCAGTAAGCTTAATGTGAGGCTTGTGTACAGTCGGCTTAATGTGAGGCTTGTGTACAGTCAGCTTAATGTGAGGCTTGTGTACAGTCTGCATAATGTGAGGCTTGTGTACAGTCTGCTTAATGTGAGGCTTGTGTAGTGTCTGCTTAATGTGAGACTTGTGTGCAGTAAGCTTAATGTGAGGCTTGTGTACAGTCTACTTAATGTGAGGCTTGTGTACAGTCAGCTTAATAGGAGGCTTGTGTACAGTCTGCTTAATGTGAGGCTTGTGTACAGTCTGCTTAATGTGAGGCTTGTGTACAGTCTGCTTAATGTGAGGCTAGTGTACAGTCTGCTTAATGTGAGGCTTGTGTAGTGTCTGCTTAATGTGAGGCTTGTGTACAGTGTGCTTAATGTGAGGCTAGTTTACAGTCTGCTTAATGTGAGGCTTGTGAAGTGTCTGCTTAATGTGATGCTTGTGTATAGTCTGCTTAATGTGAGGCTTGTGTATAGTCTGCTTAATGTGAGGCTTGTGTACAGTCTGCTTAATTTGATGCTTGTGTATAGTCTGATTAATGTGAGGCTTGTGTATAGTCTACTTAATGTGAGGCTTGTGTATAGTCTGCTTAATGTGAGGCTTGTTGTACAGTCTGCTTAATGTGATGCTTGTGTATAGTCTGCTTAATGTGATGCTTTTGTATAGTCTGCTTAATGTGAGGCTTGTGTATAGTCTGCTTAATGTTTGGCTTGTTGTACAGCCTGCTTAATGTGATGCTTGTGTATAGTCTGCTTAATGTGAGGCTTGTGTACAGTCTGCTTAATGTTTGGCTTATTGTACAGTCTGCTTAATGTTTGGCTTATTGTACAGTCTGCTTAATGTGATGCTTGTGTATAGTCTGCTTAATGTGAGGCTTGTGTACAGTAAGCTTAATGTGAGGCTTGTGTATAGTCTGCTTAATGTGAGGCTTGTGTACAGTCAGCTGCGGCAGACACCGTGAGGCTACAGGTAGCAATTCTATATAGTCACCGTCTGACTGCAGATCTCAACTCTTTAGTACGGACTTCTATGTACTAAATCCGCAAGCCATTGATTCAAAAATAAAAGGGAAAAAAATTCGATGGCGCGTCATTAATTGGCTTACTTTAGAAACGTAGCAGAGAGAACTGCATTTTGGGCCTCTCGGCACCACCAAGCCTCCCGGCCTCTCAGCACCACCAGGCCTCCCTGCCTCCCAGCACCTCCAAGCCTCCCAGCTCCACCAAGCCTCCCAGCAATACCAAGCTTCCTAGCCTCCCAGCTCCACCAAGCCTCCCAGCAATACCAAGCCTCCTAGCCTCCCAGCTCTACCAAGCCTCCCAGCCTCCCAGCTCCACCAAGCCTCCCAGCTCCACCAAGCCTCCCAGCAATACCAAGCCTCCCAGCCTCCCAGCTCCACCAAGCCTCCCAGCACCACCAAGCCTCCCAGCACCACCAAGCCTCCCAGCACCACCAAGCCTCCCAGCACCACCAAGCTTCCCAGCACCACCAGGCCTCACCGGCAGCCAAAAGGTGGCTGGCCGGACGGGTTCCAGGCTAGAGTCTCGCCTCGTCAATCCTTGTAGTTCATCCGCTATTTTATCATACCGGCTTCTCAACTCTGGCCAAACTTAATTTCATAATTATTACTCCTTTACTCACTAATTACTTACGCGGTTATAGTATTTTATTCTTAATGACCATCTTGTCTTAATCAATCATGCTACGGTCCTTCATTACCAGGTCTCTCAATAAATAATTTTTTTCCGTGGCGAAAAAACGGTAACGTTTCTTCGAAAATAACTGATGAGCGTATCTGAGCCTTTTACTGCCTCGATGTTATCACTCATATCATCATGCCAAACTGATGAGCGTATCTGAGCCTTTTACTACCGCGATGTTATCACTCATATCATCATGCCAAACTGATGAGCGTATCTGAGCCTTTTACTACCGCGATGTTATCACTCATATCATCACGCCAAACGTAACAATCGTAAGTCTTATAGAATTTTGGTTCACAGCCATCGCGGTGGTCCCGCATTCAGACAGCAGCTCAAGTGACCAAAACTTGCGCTCGATGCGACGAATTTTTAAAGTAAATGACCACATTAACGTTAATCGATAGCCAAAACAGCGTTATTTTCTGAATTTGTTTCTGGAGGAAAGGCTTCAATTTTTTCCACCATGACGAATACGCCCATTGTGAACGCTTGACTGGAGTTTTATCTCCATCACACTTCACTGAAATTTCTTCAAGGAGTTCCAAGCCAATAAAAATTCTCCCGAATTCTTCACAAGGCTAGGTATCGTAAATCTTAACAACATCCCCATACTATGTTCACGTATTCACGGATGTTAAATATTCATAAGGAATTAACTCTGTACGAGAATGAGCACAACGTTGGTAATATTTTTGTTTATTAGTGAGATTTTCATGCTAACAACTAAGGTTACAACTGCAATTCATTCAGGACTCAGCAACGTTTAGTTCGCGCATTTAAGCACTAGCGGCTACACGCACGCTAGTTGCAAGAAACATAGCTTAGAAGGCACTCGCAGAACAGTTAGCAACGCAGCCACTTACACTGTTGAAAACGTCTTCTTTCAAGATAAATTAGAATATAAATAAGAGTACAAACTCATACCAACCTTCGTTATCGGAAAAATGTTATATTTTTGTGACAAGTCAACGACATTAGCGAACGTTTCATTAATTTCCGATTCGAATCAATTAGTTTTTATTTATTTTCTGATTGGTTCGTGAATGCTAATTAAGTTAAGTAGATTTGATGATGTACAGAGAGAAGACAATGATTATAGCTAAATGTGGAAGACCTGAGAGTAAATAAAGTCGCATCAATCAAGCTGTTAATAAATATTAACTTGTCTTGTTCTATAGATATCACTTGTTAGTCATCATGCTTAGATCTCCAAGCCAGTGTATATTTTCTACGTTGAAACTTATGATATATCAAAATGGCTTAGCATCAAGATTAGCTGCATGCGTTCCATTAGAACTGCCTGATAATGTGGACGCTGCATTCTACAGTATAGCTGCAGGATAAAAACAATCTCGTAAGAAGACTTCATGCAGACGTATCTGGATCGACTCAACGTCCCAACTTAAGCACGTCATTAAATAACGTGTCAACTTTAGGACGTTATTAAATAACGTCTCATCTTAAAAACGTCATTAAACAACGTCCCAAATTAACCACGTCATTAAATAACGTCCCAACTTCAGCACGTCATTAAATAACGTCCCAAATTAACCACGTCATTAAATAACGTCCCAACTTCAGCACGTCATTAAATAACGTCCCAAATTAAGCACGTCAATAAATAACGTCCCAACTTAGCACGTCATTAAATAACGTCCCAACTTAAGCACGTCATTAAATAACGTCCCAATTTAGGAACGTCATAAAATAATAACAAGAGACAAACGCAACCATCTCAGGCACGAGGTTATGCCCGCAGCTTCAATAAGAAAGTCAACCAGTTTCAACCACAGACTCACTTCCCGCCAGCTGATCACTCTGAACTCATTAACTATTAATGAAACTATTATTTTTTGGCACTAGAAGACAATTTTTCACGATTAATAAAATCGAAATTGATGGAAAAATTTTTGCAATGGAGCATCCCTGTTTCCGGGGATGCGTAATAAAAGCTGCATTAAAAAAATAAAGAATAAAACTGATACAATAAATAAATACAATAATAAAAATAAAGAATAAAACTGATACAACAATAAAAACTGATACAATATACTTGCAAGGAAGCATCCCGATATAAGTAAAAATTAAACACAGAAGTTAAACTGTATAGTTTGTAACAATTTTTAAAAGCAGATTCATATGAGCTGCCAACAGGTATTAAACCCCCGATATTTGGCACTGACAGCTGCAACTCGCAACTTATTATTAACCATTACAATAATGCTCGTATTGAACCCACAACAATACAACACACAATTAGGGAAAAACAATTATTTCTTTTATTAATGACAATCACCTCGTGCGCAGAAGTCGCCATTGATTAAAGCATGATCGCCATGGTTTGTCCATGATGAATAGGTTAACTCGTTTTTAAAGTGCACTATTCATCTATAAAGCTTTATTGCGAAAGTAAAGAACTATTAAAACATATCGAGAGATACCGGTACAAGTCACGCAAGCAACGAAGTTTTAAAGCTTATCATGAAAAAAAATCAAGCTGCTAGAATTAAGAATTGCAAAAAATATGGAACTTCATAAAAATGCTTTGGCAGCACGAAAAAATTGCTTGTTGGTAGCACAACACTTGCTTCAAGCCTAACACGTGTCTTAGAAACTGAAATGCACACATCAGATACATTTTTAATCAATCAAGTTACGAGGAATGAAATGGAATGCAAACGTTACGATCGAATGCAAAATTTGCCTTACTGATGGAACCGTGAATTCGCCTTACACGTAGGAGAGGATGAACGGAAAGATTTGTGTGAAGTGCCTATATGGCCTGCAAACGCCAGTTTCGATTAACAGCTAAGAGAGCTTGTTTTTAACTTGCATTAGATCTTCCTTCCTTCCCAATTTGTACATTTTTGGCTTAATTATGTTGACATCATAGACATTAGTGGTAAAGAGGCTGACAAGTTGAACGTTGTCGTGCAATATTTGCAGGGCGAAAACTCTTATTTACCCAATTCTCATCTGATCTTCTGATCAAACTGCAGCAAACATTACTCAGAAATGTTGCTAGAGTATAACATACAAAAGTAACATTGGTAATAAGGCAACAATGAGCTCTGGACGATCTGGCGACCTTTGCAATAGCACGCTAAGCAACTTGGCTTTAAAAACATTCTAGAATCAGTGGAAGCGACGTGAAATGATACATGCAACAGAGACCGAGGAAATTATCAGGATATATTGGAAACTTCTAACGATAAATATTGATAAAGCTCAGAAACAAATTAAGAACTGACATAATTTTACCCCCTTTATCTAAACGTTCCAGCGACGTTTAAAAAATCAACGACCACCACAACGAGCAAATTGCACAAGCTTGTAACCTCACAAGACTGTTATCATCTGTAACCTCATAAGACTGTTATCCTCATAAGACTATTATTTAATAAAAACTCGGGCAACACCAAAGCTTCTGCCCTGGAATCACTACACTCCTGTTTATTCTCGCCGAAAGTTAGTCTGGATCTGCTTGGGCACCCGATCGTAATCAGATCCTAAAGATCATTTACTTTCACACTTTATAGTCGCCCGAGAGTATAACATGTGTTGACCGAAGCCAAGTCATACAGAGCTTGAGTGCTGCCCCGAGGCTGCACTTCAGGTCCGACCAAAGAGGGAATATGCGACTTCTATAAAGCGCTCCCCGAATCCTAAGAGGGACCTGTTGCTGTGCCAGGTACACATCCGAATTTTGTTAGGGTTGTTGTCGGCAGGCTGGTCCAAGTGGGACTTGATAGTGGCTAAATTAAGTAGCAAATAAGAAGAAAAGCAATTTAAAAACGGTTAGACGTAACAATGAGATTGCTCTAGAAAACGCCCTCATACGTATTTCGGGGGTGACCAACAACAGCGTGAGATAGTATACCAACATCTGCAATTACTGAGAAGCTGCAGCGTTCCTTATTATGCACGGTAAGAACATCCGAGGCGGAACAATATAAACACAGTCAAACACATTTGCAGTCAAAGTTAAATATAGATATTACAAATTTTAAACAACTAAAAACATCAAAGCTTTTGCTTTGCAACAGGCGAGTGCCTTATTGTTTAAATTAGAGTTCGACTTATCGAGACCCAATTTGAACATTAAATAGACAAAGAAAACGCATTATTCAGTGAACAAATACAAAGCATGAACGGTTAGATTACACTGCAAACAACATTAGCGGGAAGGAATACATTTGCTTCTCCAACGAAACCAAAGTAACAAAGATTCAGTAAAACCATTACAAGTGAGAAGGGAACAATATCATATTAAATTACTTCGAGATAAATAACATTTTTTATTCAGTAAACGTCAAGGAATAACTTCACTTACCCGGTATTCAGTTAATAATTATTAAATAGATAAAAAGGAAGTTTAGTCCTAAGTTTTCCATGAGAGGTCATTGGAAAAATTCCAAAAGCCTGATTACCTCGCAATACATTAAAATTTAGTGGTCCGTGAGGCACGGAATGTTGACAAAACGCAAATCAGATGCAAGATAAACAAATAAATGTTTAAAATCATTCCGCGATTCTTTAAATAAATCATAAAGAATGGGAAGAACGCTACCGAACGCAACCAAGTAGCCACAAAATTCATGATCCTGGCTCATCGTATCTTCATGCGCCATCATATCTTATCTACACAAGTTGACAACACGAAATAACCGACATGGGTTGGCACCAGGTTTCAACGATCGTCGACCGATGAACATACAGGAAGAGTTCCCTCAAGCAATGATGCAATAATAGGCCAGCAATGGAAATAGCATAAATAAAGTTGACATCCGAGTGAGGATGCGGCTAGTAAGGCAATTAATGTAACTATGACACGGTATTACGCATGCAACATGCAAAGATTTTCATGTGTGTTAGATTCTGAACAACATAAGCTTAAAAAATACCTTAAACAGCGGATCGATATCACCATGAACGTGTTCATAAGATTCATAATTGAACGAAACATTAGAAGTTGAGGTTAGAAAGGGACGCAGACGATGGCTTATGTCTGACGGTGTGAGGGGAGTTGTGATGTGACCCAGGGGGTGAAGGCGGGCCAGACCCTCGTCTGGACCGCCCCGGCGAGGGTGGCGCTGAGAACCTGGCAGGGGGCGTGTGGGTCGTCGACCGCGGTAGGGTGGGAGTTCGGCTACGTCGGTGGCCCCGCAGGGAGGAGTAAGGCGACGAGCCTCTGGCAAGGTTCATGTGTTTATAGAGCAGCACACCCACGTCCTTGTGACCCGCCTCCACTGCGATGGCCAGGGCGGAGCTGCCGTCGTTGTCGACGAGGTGCGCGTCCGTGTCGGGAGACTGCAGCAGGAAGCGCACGATCGCTAGATGCCCGTGCTCCGCCGCACACATAAGCGCTGTCGAGCCATCGTCATCCTGGATGTTCACGTCCGCTCCTGTAATATAATAGTTCAGTTCATAAATCTGACAGGAATAATGCTACGCACCATCATAAACCAATGATGCAAAACCGGATAATTTTATTTTCCGGAATGGCAGTTGCATGGAAGTCCAATTGACATTTATCATAAAAGGTAGTCACACTAGACAGAAATTAAGAAATTCTATACAATCCTGTAACTATTTTTAAAAGGTTAACAAACAAAGGTGAAGATGTGAATCAAAATGAGGAGACACCCACCAGCGGCGAGCAGCAGGCGCACGGTGTCGAGACGGCCGTGGCTGACGGCGAGCATGAGGGCCGTCTGGCCGTGCTGGTCTGCCTTGACGTTCACGTCGCTCATCGAGAAGAGCCGTTCCACGACGGCCGCGTGAGCCGTGCACTTGATGGGCGCAAGAGATACCAGCATCGTGGCCGTGTAGCCAGCTTTATTCTGTTGATTTACGCTACACACTTTCGAGTCTAGCAGAAGGGAAACCACATCGAAGTTTCCATGCGACACGGCGTAGTGCATTGCCGTGTTGCCGTTCACATCAGCCAGGTTGACGACGCGGTGCAAGAGGCCTTTGGAATACTGCATCTCGAACACATCCAGATACTCCTCAACGAGGTGAGGATCAGAGTCGTTTTGGCTGGACACTTTGAACCAGTCTCTTTGTATGATATTCAGAGCGTTGGTCAATTGCTGACCCGAGCGTACGGGTTTGCCGATGCTGTCGTTGAGGACTTTAAGAGCTGCTCGTAAGCCACGGCTGAGCTTCAGCTTCTGTCGAGGAGCTCGGCCGTCCAATGTAACGCTGTACGAGTCAGCAACACTGCTGCCCACGATGCTCTCGTCCCCAGAGTCAAGCATCTCGCTCTCGTCGACTGAAGCTCCGCGATGCAGGCGAGCTGCTTCAGCGCCATCTGAAGCAGGGGGTGCAGGGGCTGAAATTTGTCCCGCTACAGCCCTACTTGCAGGAGGAGGAGACGAGGATGACTTTTGGAAAGAAGAAGATGAAGGAGAAGCTGCTGACAAATTGACAGTAGGCGCAGGTGGCTGGGGGAACGGGGTGGCCTTCCTCGGAGTGGAGGGTGACAGCTCCTGGCATTGTTGGCTCGGTGCGCTGCAAGAGAAGTTATAGATTATGCATGTGTGTATTAACATACACACTTAGTTGAACAAGTATGTAACGATACAGTTGAGCCAAAAACCAAACTTATGAATGAAACTTGAGATGGTTTTAATAGCAAATATATATGCAGATGAAAAAAGTTCTGTACACACAGCTCACGAACGTTTTATAATAATACTGAATTGGGGAAACAAATGTGAACAATAACCTCAAATTTCAATCATTAATGTCACTCGTTTACTTGAATACAAGTACGGTATTAATGTCACTCGTTTGCTATCTCTTTTCTTCACCATAGTGAATAAAAGGAACATTTGGCTTTTTCGTCATCAAATAAATGTGAAATACAATACATGTAATAATAATGCATTTTGTATCTTTTTCCATCTCCAAGCAATCAGTCACATGCCGCTAAAGCAAACAACGGAGAGAAAAAGCCCTCGACTCACCTCGCGTCAGGCTTCTCAGTCTCGCGTTCGGCAGACCCTCTCGACGCTTCTCGCTTGCTCTCGTAAGATGTCATCTCTCGCTGCCAGCTGTCCACTCCGGTTGTTGACGGCTGAGCAACATTTTTACCGGCAACGTCTCTAGCTGCAGAAGTAGGGACACGTCGAGGCCAGTTTTCCTTTACAGAGATTTCAGGGGAGCTCCGTTCGCGGCGATAAACGTTAACATTTCTCCGTGTGGCTGCGGCACCAGGTTTCCCTTCTTCCTCTTCCTGCTCTTCAAGCGCCGACATCTTTCTGGACTGAACTTCAGTAGTAGATGCCTCACCAACACCTGTTTTGTAGTCTTCATCGGCCAGCTTTGTGTAAGTTTGTTGTCTGTTAAACGGAACCTTCGCCTTTTCAGATGTAGTTTCAGTTGGAGGAGGCAAAGAATTTCGTCTGGGATCGTCAGCAGTGCTAGACGACCTCTTCCTAAGCTGGACGTGAGCAGACTCTTGCTCCTTACTCAGATTAAGTCGGTCTAAACGACTATCAGATCTTCTTAGATTTGAGTCGATTTCAAAACCAGCTCCTACTTCTCCAAGGGTCGGTTCCAATTTGAATGGATCCACCAAACGAGGGATTTTAGATGAATTTCCTGACGGTGGAAGCGGAATGATAACTGGAAGGCCGGAACCAAGAGATGTAGTGGACCCAGAAGTGCCAACAATATCCTTCGCAACAGAAGTAATCGTGTCGTGACACTTATCACAGATGTTGATGCTGGAACTACCAAAAGGTCGTCTCTCAACCTCAGGAGTGACAACAGGACTGGTGGCAGGTCTTTCTTCTTTCTTGAGAGGCAGAAACACGGTATTTGTGCCCACAGTTTTGGAGCTCGCAACCGACGTTTGACACGAAGCAGAAGACAACATCTTAGGGATGGGAGGCACAGTTTGGGCATAGGAAGATTTTGATAGAGGCTTGAGCGTGATAGCATTCTTGCGGTCTTGGCACGAGTCGCAAACTACGTCAGTTACTTTGTCCCAACTGCAGCCGATACTACGTTTCGCAACACAACAACGGTCACACAGCAGGTCGCTGACGCTGCCTTCACCTACGGCCACGGTACGCACGCTCGTCTTTTTCTCGTCGTCGATTTTAGGCTCAAGCACAGGGACAGATTGAGTGGATCTGTCTCTAGTAAGAGGTTTAGTAGGCAATTTGCGCTGTTCCGAAAGACTCCAAGCTTCCCTTGCCTTGCTCACTTCCATGGCGACTCTAGACTCAATTTCTCTCGTCATTTCACGTTCGAGTTTCAGCTTTTCAGTTTCCAAGTTATAAGTTAATCTCTCATTCACTTCTTTATCGACTTCCAGACTATACTTCCTTTTTATTGTTCCAACTTGATCTTCTACCCTCTCGTTTACAAGCGATTCCAATTCTGCCTCCCAATCCTCCCGCGCTTGCTGCATGAACTCTTGTACCCTCAAATGAACGCGTTCATTAACCTCAGCGTCCACGAGGTCTTTGGTAATTATTTGCTCAGCCAGTAGAATGGTGTTCGTGTTTTGGTTCCTAACGCGGAGTTGGTCAGTATTATTCGCTTGTGTCCTAGTGACCAATTTCTCTGTATTCGTTGAATTATCAAACAAAAGTGCTGGAGGGTCCTTTTGGACCTCAGACATTCTGCTTATTATTGAGGAATTTTGGCGACCCAACTCACTGAGTAGCTTCGTGCGCGCATCTTTCTTTTCCTCGATGGTTTGGGTGGAGCGGTCCACGGTGAGAAGATTCGCCACCGACGGTCGCTTGAGGTCCCTGAGCGATGAAGTCTCCTTCATGGGAGACACCGCGCGGTCCACGACCTTCGACGTCATGTCCGCCGTGAGTCCCACGGAACGAACCCGCACGGCATGAACGATGCCCACGTCCCGTGTGAGCACCCGACACGACGTCGAGGCGTCCCTCTTCTCCTTCCCTCGTGTGCCCCACCAGGCATTGACCCCTTCCCTCTCGCCTTGCTGCTGCGACGGCCGGTCTCCTACTTCACTGATGAAAAGACTGTGCGTTCCGTTATGGCGGAACGTCTCATTCTTTACCGGAGACTTGGCCTGGCCGTTGGAAAGATTTGAGCGTTCATTGTTATCACTGAAAGAATTTTTATTGTTTCGGCTTGCGCTGGCGGTGGTCATGGATCTGGCTGCTCTATAGGGGCGTTCAGACGCAACGGATTCAGAATCTGAGCAGTCAGACACTGAACTCGCTCGAGCTCGGCGATAGGAGCAGAATTCTTCCAAGTTGACACGCACCGCTGAAACAAATCATTCCAAATACGGCTCTAGTACGGCTCTATACGATTAAAGCAAGAAGATAATGAAGCTGTGTCCCTCTATTAATGCGGGACTTTTGAACCAGGTATTTCTCCTGATTTAGTATTACAAAAAGCTTACTTGGATTTAGTAATACATCAAGCGAATAATATCCAGTAATTTTATGTCAAGTTTTATCATCACTATTGCACGCAGCAGCCACTGTTATGTCCTAGGAAACTAGGTACATGTACAGACAGAGCAGACAAATATTCCCAAATAACCTGCTAACTAATTGTCAAAATAAGTCTCATGAATCATAAGCTGTGGGTTGAGCGAAATAAGAATACCATAACAGTCTAATAAATATGAAATAAAAACTCCTCGAAGAGACTCACGTGAGGGGCTGCGACGTCGCCTGCCGGGGAGGCCAGCGTCTTCCCTGAGGTCCTGCGAGACGACCTCTCGCCTGATATAATTTAAATATATAATAAATATAGTTATTTATATTAAATGACTATAATGAACGTGAGGTGTAAAAATTCCAGTCGTGAAATTCGGTGTAAGCGGTGATGAACAAGAAAACGTACAAGTGTTAAAAATTGAACGTATTGTATGAGATTTCACTCAAGTGACGTAACACACGATTAGTCGACACAGTTATTTAATTTAGACGAGAAAGATATTTATGTCAATCAATAACACACATGAAAGGCATATGTACTCCACAGTAACCCAAGATTGGGCTACAATGGCTAACAGGAATTTATCTTCGTCAATAACACACATGAAATGCATATATGTGACAGTTTCCCAGCATTGAACCTCACCTCATCTCTACATTAGTAAACTTGCGTGACTGTGAAACCGCCTCCTGAAGCTGCTCTCGCTCGCACCGCAGTCTATCCAGCTCCTTCTGATGATAAGAAAACAACAGACTTTCAGAACATGAACTTGTTTAAATAGAAATAAAATCGTTAAAAATATGAAAATTCTATGATAATTTTCCCTTTACCACAGAACAAAATGGTATATTTTGAACTATAAAGCAAAAAATATAGACTTACGGTGGATGAATAAAACAAAGCTTTTCGGTTAGCAACACGAGACGGCACAGATAAGACAGAGAGAACAACATAAAAGCTGAACAAACGAGCATAAAAAGGACCAAAGGTGCCAGGTTCGCAGCACACATATCGTTACCTTCAAGTGAGGGATGTTGGCTACCTCAGCCTCGAGTTCTCGTAAGCGGCTGAGACCGGCCGCCATTTGGTCTCGGATGGACTGCGGTCAGGACGTCGGTGAACACGCGTCTCGCATGAGATCGAGGCATGTCACAAGATCGATTTAAGTCGCCAGATCGAGTCAAGTCACGATATCCAGTCAAGTCGCGAGATCGAGTCAATTCGCAATATCGAGTCATGTCGCGAAATCGAGTCAAGTTGCAAGTTAGATTCAAATTGCGAGATCGAGCCAAGTCACAAGATCGCGTCAAGCCGCGAGATCGAGTCAAGTCGCGACATAGAAATGTGGCAAAGAGCGGTCGGATTTGTACGTCGTCAACATCAGCAAGGAGCCAGATGTATTCGTCAATTCACCCCGCCATGTTAACAGTGAAGTTTATGTCGGTAGGTAACCAAGTGTTGCAAGTAGTGTTAATACGTTTTTTGTTAATACGGCCATTGTTTTGAGCAGATAAGTTCCACCAAAAAATCTTACCAACAGCCATTATTAGGCGAAATGTACTCGAGTTTTATGGCCAAGTTGCGTTATGTTGAAGGAACTAGTCAAATTTTGAGTCAGTCAGTTGTGCTCGGCAATATCAATAAACGAGGGTGTGTTGTTGACGAAGCAACCCAGCAGTTTGGTTGAGGCTCCCATGTTCAGGCGATGGCGACGAGGCAGAGAGTAAATCAGAAGCATAAATTAGTGAGGTATGCTTGCAAGCATAGCGCCACAAAGCAAAGAATGAAAGGCGATCAACTTTTTATAAAATTAGTTGAAATTAAAGCAAGCAAACACGTTGACAGCAATTCAGATCTGTAAATTCCGGTCTTGATCTCGTTTGGAGCCAGATTCATATCGCAAACTGTTTTTCTTTCAGAAGCAAGTAAAGCAAAATCAAAACTGTATAAAAGACAATTTGAAGAGCAGAACTCGTAGAAACACGCGTAAACAAACATTAAATGAAAGTGGAAGCCGAAATAGATGTAATTAAGCGGTGACTTTTTCAGTACCGTATATATTTTATTTCACCGCACATCTTATAGCAAATCTTACAGACAAACAAAAAAATACCGCACATTCTGAAAAAATGCAAGCGCAGGTAGGTATTCTGTACTTGCAACAGAAGCAGACAAACGCACATCGCGGATAAAGCAGGCCCGGTGAAGGTAACATTGCTGGATACTTGGCTTGCAAGCGTGTAAGAAGCGCAAGATATTTTAGTGACTGAGCTCTAGATAAATATTATAGAACATGACGATAGCGAAATAACGCTCGCAAAATAACTGATATATCAGATAAGTGTGAATATCGACTCAAAATTTAGTTTACCCTTTTTTCAGAGAGGGAAACGAAGGGAGAAAATAAGATTGGATAGCAAAATTTAAGTTGCAAGAGGTTCATTAGATATGACAATAGAGACTTTATTATCGATTCAATCAAAACGAAATCTATGCCATGAGAATATCAAATTTTATCTGATTTATATGATTTTTTTATATATTTATATAGATTTATATAAGACTTGTTTTGCAATATTCTGGGACTAAGCGGCAATATACTCTTTTTCGGCTCCAGACGATACTTCAGCGCGTATTTCTGGGGGACATTCCGGGCGCAAATGATAGTTATTTTTCTTATACAAAATTTCTTATATTTTGTATGCAAAATGTCTATGAAGCAGTGCGAGGAGCACCTGCAAGGTGCTGGTGGAGAGCTGCGACGCTGTGGAAGTAACGCTCATGAGGTCGTCAGGAGGGGGCGGGGGCGAGTATCTGCCGCCACCTTTAGTAGCTTCAAGCGAGGCTAAAGCTTCCCTGAGCGTCATGTGGCCCCCGCCACCGCCGCCACCGCTGCCGGGCTGCGGGGCGGCAAGCAAGGCGGTTAGTGCGCACGATGCACTCGCGCCGTACCACACGTCAAGTTAAACGAGATTTTAATCAAAACTAAGTTAAACTGCATCGAATTTTTTTTAATTTTGACAATTATCCACAAGAAAATGATGAACCAATTAAATAAATAGAATTTGTATAATAGACTTGACTTTACGCTTCCAAGAAAAAAAAAATGATACAAATTCAGAGTTGAACGAAACGTTTATGTAGCTAAGCCGTGGTACGGACGCGTGTGAGTGTCACGCAATTAATGGTAAGTTGGTGGCGCGGTGACAAGCTTTAGTGCTGTGAATAAATTAAAAATTATAAGGAATTAATTGTAACGTTGGATTAGAGAAAACCATATTCACATGAAACAGTATAAAAAACACGCAAAGTTAACGTAAAAAAATAAGTATTATGAACACACAACGTTAAATCATTGGGTCACAAGTAAAAAAAGCCAAGATAGTTAACAAATATAATTAAGAAGCCTAACAAAAGAATTAGCATTTAAAAGGCATTTTATTTTATTAATGAATCCATTATCGTCACTCAACCTGGCACGTGCGCTGTACAGGCTCAGGCTTAACGTAAAAAAATCATTTCATAAATTAACAAACAAATGCGAAGCACGAACAACACATTCATCAGGTTAATTTAAGTGAGTCACTGTGATGAATATAATCACACAAGTTTCGTCGGGTCATAGTCGACAGAAATTATCTATGTCTAGTCAGTGTTTCTTTCAAATCAATTTCTGTACTTCGCGGTGCAATCTCTATACTAGAAATAAATATTTAGCACGAGCTATAGCACACTTACTTGTTTCAGTACTGCCAGCATGAGAAGCAAAGGAAAACATTTCAAGAAATTATTATTACAACACGAGAATCCCTTAATGTTGAAAAAAGGCAATCAAATTGAAAATGGAGAGCAAGCCAAATCATACACGTACAGCATTCACGGGGACAAACATCGAGTCACTCAGAGAAATGAGCGATACTTTGTCCAAATAGTGATGCACTTTTTAGTTTTTGCCCTTGTGTGTGTCATCCTGAACCAGTTTGGTCCAGCAAACTGGGGCTGCGAGCAGAAAGTACATCACTATTTGGACAATATTTGGACGTCACTTTTCTGAGTAGGACTCTTATATAGGAAACGAGTCTAGCGACCTAAATTAGACTCGAATGGCCAAACTGACCCAAAAATCATCTTGGAATTTAAAATTAAATTCTAAACTACAGGAATAACTAATGAGCGAAACAAAGGAAATGGAGATTCCTCAGTATGAACGCAAGAACATTACAATGAATAAAAGTCCGAGGCTAGAAAAACTCTCTTGGCAATGCAGAACCTATTGCCAAAAGAAAAAAAAATTCAAGTCTTCTTACCTGATGTGGTGACGGCCGTCCCCGGGAGAACCATGTGGACTCGTCGGGAACTGCTCGAAATGAAGAGAAAATCGAGTAACACACGCAAATTTATAATTAGTAAATAATAATATAATAAATAATTAATACAAGTAATATAATAGACACCAAGAACATGTGATGTATATGAGGGCACAACCGACATATTCTGTCGTGATGAAGGATTAGGATGCATCATCAGCGATGCAGGTTAACATGATGAGAGCGTGGCACTGTAGTATAGCATTGATACTAACGTGATGCACGTCAACTTTCAGTTTGATAATTGTATACGTATTTGTCACGATCATAATTAAATGTTGAACTTCAATAAAACTAGTCACTGGCTTAGACCACCAGTCGCATTTGTCCATCTAGATTAAACATATAAGGACGCAGCAGCATTAACAGTAGCAACAGCAGCAGCAGCAGCAGCATTAACAGTAGCAACAACAACAGCAGCAACAGCATTAACAGTAGCAACAACAGCAGCAACAGCATTAACAGAAGCAACAGCAGCACTATTGTCAACGAAGTCTTTCCTATGACATTCGTTGATTAATTTTCATTAGATGAACTATAAGATTATCTGAGTTTCAATAGGTTCTTATTATTGTCCATGCTATAGCAGGAGAATGAGATATAGGCAACACTAAAAGTGATTATTAAGTATAAAATTACAGGTTGAGGCACTATGAGTTATTATTACAGTACCGGTAGTTAAGAAGGTATAGTTGACGACACGACCGCGAGTAAGACAAGCGAGTACCGGAGCCGACAGACGTGGTGGATGTGTCTAAGGTTAGACTGCGATGGACTGCAGCTAAGAGGTGTTGGTCTATGACTGGCTGGTGGTAACTTGAAGAGCTTATACAGTCTTACAGACTTACTAGAATGACGTTACGGAAGGTGACGTGAGGGATACTACTGACAGCATGGATGGTGACGTATGAAATAAGTGAGCTGAAACTACAGACTCACAGTATCGAGGGAGGCTGTTGGAGCGCGTGACGCTGGCGCTACGCACGCCGCTCACCGCAGCCTGAGCCAACATTGATGCCACCATGGCTTTGTTTACGCCTCCTGCATCGGCATGACACACGTAACAATAAGCTGTAACATGTAACAATAATAAGCTGTAACATGTAACAATAATAACCTGTAACAGCAGCCATAACACATACACAGCCACACAAAGCTCCAAGAAAGCAAGAACGACAAAAGCGTTAAGAATAAGAGAACAAGACACATAGTGCGAGGAAATACGCAACACAATTTGAGTAGAGTGAGCGGAACAGCGGTCTTAGAAATGCAGCTACAGGAATACAAATCAAAAAACATGGGTGAAGAGTCGGCCATTGATATGAATCTCCATATATTATGAGTCGTCAAATATATATACGCACATATCAATCAAACTTTAATTTAAAAAGAACGTCTGCCATGACATACCAACATATACACCGATTGTAAAGTTTTAACGGCCCTGTATACAAGTAGAACCACACAGAACTATACACACACTCGCGTAAGAACAAACCACACCGAACTATACACACAGATGAACTATACAAGTACACACAGTTGTGCATGGCGTGCACACAAGTTAGTCACCGATAGCTTGCTTGCGGTGCGGGGCGAGGGCTCCCCACGCGGCGTGGGTGTCGCTGGGGGCGGCCGTGGGGCGGCTGCGGGAGCTGTTGTCGTGGGAGCTCTCCAGCGTATCCTCGAAGTCCTGCATCGCTTCCTGCAGTAAAGTAGACAAAAGTAGCAATGGTAGAGGTGGACAGAAGTAGGAGTTATGGTGGAGGTAGACAGAAAAGTAGCATAAGTAAAGAAAAACAGGCGGTAGGAATGGTAGCATAAGTAGAGATAAACAGAGGCGGTAGGTAGATAAAGGTGGTAAGAAAGGCACTAGTAGAAAGAGCTGTGTCAACTGAGGCAGTAAAGTAGAGTATATTTACAGGCGTTTGGATGGGTAATCAAATCGATTATGCTCACAGGCGTTTGAGAAGAAGAGATCTCGCACTTGGAATAAGTACCTAACTACCGGTACTCTTCTATAAGGAGTAAGGTTTTGGTTGTCACTTAGGGACCGACTCAGTGTAGATCTAAGCGCACCAGCCTCACGTCACACACTAAGGGCGCGAGATGGGGGGCGGCAACCCACCTGCAGGGCGCTGGCCGCCGCCTCGGTGGCGCTGAGGTCGCCCAGGGCGTCGCTCGGCCGACGGTCGGCGAGGCTGCGGCGCGCGTCACCGTTCAGCGCCTGCGTCCAGTGCAACATTAATGACACGAATGTTGTAAGGGACAACTTGTCTATATTTTATCATCTTGCGTATAATTTTACTTGAAATTCATTTGTCATTTTGAATTTGTATATTGACATTTTAATTTAGAATTTGCGGAGGTCGGAATTCGGAAGGTGGACGATTATATATATAATTATGCGGTGTGAAGCACAAGCAGAGATATGTCATGTGTGAGGTCCTGACGTGTATTTTAAATTAAGATACGTGAATTGATGTAAATCGATACCGGTATAGGTATGCAAGTTATTAGTTTTGCCTTATTGATTTCTATATTTATTGCTTTTGTTTCCTAAGACTTGACGTTCGAGACGAAGTCTTCTTCACCGATGAAATATCAGTTTGGCCAGCATGTGGATATACTGTAGCTGGTGGATGGATGTGTGTAATAAAGTAATTCTAATTGAAGACTATCAGTGACCAAACAACCCTATTCGATCATGTAGACTGAGTTGGTGTGTGACTGAGTTGGTGTGACCACAACTATGTGACGCAAGCCTTAAATAAATTTATAGATTATTAGATAAAATATTTATACATTTTCACAACTGTATTACCTACCTATATACCTACCAACCATTCTTGACAAAATTACCACCAACACCAATCAAACATTGGACACAATGGAGCCTCATGTGCCGTGTTCACCAAGCCTTAAATTTATTAGTATTACCCAGTATTATTATCTTTACACAAGTACCATCGATAAAAACCATTCATTGTTTATGCTAAAAAACATTCCAATTGTATAAACCTGAGTATCACTTCTATCACGTTTCTATCACCATGAAAGTATTACAATCTTTTAAGAGGGAATATTTGTTTCATCATCCATACCGAATTCGGCTTTTATACTATCCAGTCCCACAACTTAAAAGCATCATTATTGTATCGGGGACGGGATGATGACGTGCGGTATTTCCATAATATTAGACTTCAGGGGCCATACTTTCAAAAAAAGTTAAGAGATCGTAAGTTCATCAGCCAATCATTGACGGCCTTTCAAGCAAAATCCACCAATCATAGACAAGAAAATAGAGCGTAAGTACTTACGTTCACTTAGCGAATTTTTAAAGTATGGCCCCAGAAGCAGAATTACGGTAATCGAAGTATCACCGTTCAACCAGCAGTCTATTCCTCTCAAGCAGCACCGCATTTGTCATCAGGGGAGTATGAGGGTGTCAGAAGGGAGGTATTGCCCCCCATACCTGAAGGTGGGGAGCAGCGGGTGTGTGGCCGCGGCCGTGGGGGACGCTGGGTGTGGCACTGACGATGTTTGTGATGCGCCTGGACACCAGCGACGGGTGCTGCAGGGAGTTGCCGCGAACTGGGGGTGGTGGTGGGGGGTCCCTGCCTCCACTCGTCACACCCGTTACACCTGTCACACCAGTCACACCCGCCACGTCACCCACGTCCTGCCACACAAAAGAGAGGTGAGAAAACATTAACCCAGAAATTAAAATGAACGTTGTCTTAGAGTTCGTTAACCTTAACAAGTTAATGTGAATAAATTATTATTGTAAAAAATTATTCACATCATGAGGCAACGTCAGCAAGTTTGTCTTATTTTACGATGGAAATGGGGAAATTTGGGTAGTTACATATAAAAATCATGGCATGAAAATAAACATCTTTTATTTGTACATGACGTGTAACATGAATGAATGTCAGACTTAAGGCTGAATCTTAAATTAAAAATTTTCAGCTGAAATGTAATTGTTGTAGTGCTAAAGATAAAAATGTTATAAGTACAAATGTAGAATAAAGTGACCTGTTGTTGGTGAGAAGCGAGTCCCAGCATCATCTCCATGCTGTGGGTCTCCCGGCGCCGCTGCTTCTTGGACAGCTTCAGCTTCCTGAGCGTGGCAGACTCCTGCTTGTTGTCCTGTTGTCATCACAAGTTTAGTTACTCACGAGTAAATTGCAATCCGTACCTCACTTTGTACTCAAGTTGATTGAGTGTTTGAAAACAGCCGTGTTGGAACAGCGGCTAGTGAAACGATTGCGACATGATATCTTAGTCCACTATATTTAACATGTTAATTAATCAAAGTCGATGAAAAAACTTGTGCTATAGATCAAGTGTGTAGACAAATAACAAAAAAGACAACTCTAAATATTCCATCGAAATTTTACTCAAACGAGTAGACCGCGAGGTATGTAAAATTATCTATCACTAACATTTGGTGGCAGGCTTCAAGCGGCCAACGAGCCGAAGTTGGCTAGGAAGAGGAAGCGCTAACATCTCAGTGATGAAGAACGGAGAAGAAGCGGTCATATGGCACAGAATGATACGCGTACGATAGGGTGCTTATACACGATACCTTGTCTACACTTTAATCAACGTTATTTCAACATCAGATGCCTAGTACGTAACTGGTATATAAAAAAAACAGGTAGGTAAAGTTTGACTTCAGCAATGATTCAATTAGCTGAGAAATCGCAAAGCATTCATGTACAACAAAGTTTAGAAAATTCAATAAATTATTGATAAATAGCATTCTCAGTGCTCAAATACAACTAAAACAGCGTATGTGCATGAACATACCTTGGCAAGGCTGTGGCAGAAGCGGACAAAGTCCAGGTCGATGTGGTAGCCATAGGGGCAGCAGTGGCAGCGCCCCCCGCGACTGCCAGCACCTACGCCCCCTGCTCGGCTGTCACCTGTACACGAGAGTAACTCAGGACTGCGCTCTACAACACACTTATTGCAACGAGTGTAAGACTTGGTCAGAATACCGACCAACTTTTTGCTCTCGTATAGATCATTTGTTTAGTCCTTGGGCAGGACTCAGTTCAGCACCCAGCGTATAACAATACAATAGCGTATTATCCAGCGCCCAGTACTATAGCGTATTAATGATACGTGCAAAAAAAGTTCACTAATAGGACAATTTGACCAGTTACTTATTCTGAATGCAGGTTCCACCTCCTTGAGTTAAACTAGGAATCTATACAGGAAATTTAAATGATTTTATTTAGATATTATCTACACATCGACAATCTGATCGCTAGCATCACCTTTAGTATAGTAATGGAATAAATAACAGCCCTAATAACAAGATCGTATGTACGTCAACCCAATCATTTGGGTACGAAACTCACATTTGACGAGACCATAAACGAGACCATAAATCAAATCTCACTGCAAAGTATACCGTAATCATATGCAGCTTGGAAAAATGCGAATAGCAATGCTCGCTCATTACAAAAACTTTGCTTATAAATCATACTCAGAAGTGGGGATCAAGTAGAGAGTTTACTCACATTTGACAGGCGAGAGGGAAGCAAAATATTCAGCTGCCGAGGTCTTCATGGTCATGGCAGCGGACATGGTTCATGCCTTAGATGTCTAACACGCACATCGCCAGCAAGTTCCTAAATAAATATCTCCACAGCATTGCGGAACACTGCCATTTTACCTTCAAATCACAACAAAACAGAGATGCAAACAATAAATTTTAGAAAACATGATTAGACATAATTCTTTTTCAATTTAAGACTAAATTCGGGTCCATTATATTGATTTGAACACATACATCACTGCAAGGATTGTTGCACACACTTCACTTTCCATAGTTCAAGATGTCTTATCGCCTTATCGATGTCGTGTTCCGTTGCAAGTCCATACAACGGCGATAACCACGCCAGGCAACGAGCCGCATACGCGCTTCGGTGAGCTCAAACGAAATACTAAACATTATTATCACGAGCGAACAGCATGGTCACACTTTCTACAACTGCCCGCATACATGTATAAAAAAAATAAAATTTAAACGGAAAATATAATCAAAAAGATTTAAATTTATCAGCACTTCACTTGAAAATTCTCGTTATTATTACATTCAAATAAATCCGCTCTAAATCAAAATGCTGAAATTATACATCAAAGTTTCTAAGTTCAAGGATATATATATACACATATAATAGGTACTTCAAGACAAGCCTCAATTAAGAGTAAGCAATTGGCGAGTGTCTAAGTCTTGGTGTAGTCACTCGCACGTGACGTGAATATTAAATGAGAATATATTCCGTATGAACGAAGCATGACTGCGCGCAGACGATGAGTAGGAACCCAATACAATAGCCTACTCTCAAGGCCGCGTGGCCCAGGCTGCTCAGAATGTGCGAGATCTAAAAGTTGAGATCGCTAGAACGGCGCAAGTTACGGGGAAGAAATTTCAAGGAATTCGAGATCAAAACCATGATTTTAGCAGTCGAACAGTGGAAATTCAATTCTACATATCAATACTAGAACTTTCAGTTATTGTGCTACAACTCACGTGAATAGGCGATTAATGATTAATAAAAATCGCCGTAATCTTACACATAACTAGCAGAGAAATTCGCATATTGCCGATGCACAAAACATTTAAATAGGTGTGGCCATGCATGTAGTTAGACTTAATGTCCGACTATAAATGAATTATTTATACCGACCATTACATAGTTCAGGCCACGTCAATGCTCTGGAAAAGCGCTTAACGTTGGCACAGCCAGCAGCGTTGAGTTGGCAGACGTACACGCCTGCGCAGAAGCGAGATGAGGCGAGAGAGAACCAAGCGGCACTCCTACACAGAAGTGTAGGAGTGTAGGACACTAGTAGGGTCCTACACTCCTGCCTACCCACAGCCCAGCCGGCATCCCCTGAACCGGTTCTCCCTTTGGCAGGGGACGACACCCCACGTGAGCACTGCACAGTCGTCGCAACTAAGCCCTTAATCTGGGTCATGCTTTCGCAAATTCATTTTAACGATCAATTAAACGTTGCATTTCTGAGACATAAATATCGGTTATATAAAAGCTTAGGAGAGACATCATTTATAATTAGCGGTCAACATCGTCAGTCATTTAATAGAATGTTGACATCGTGTACGGCGAGTCGGCGAGCCGCATCGTCAGTTAGAATAGAAGTGTCGGCGCTGAAGAAATAGGCCCGTGGCCTGTTGCCGATTCTTGAACTTTTCGTGACTTGATTCACAAGGGATCCGGCCTTTGGAACCCGATCTTTCCATAGCTGACGATTGATTGAGAAGTATAGCAACCTTCATCGTCAGTTATTCAACGGAATGTTGACATCGTGTATAGCGACCTTCATCGTCAGTAATTCAACGGAATGTTGACATCGTGTATAGCAACCTTCATCGTCAGTTATTCAACGGAGTGTTGACATCGTGTATAGCAACCTTCATCGTCAGTTATTCAACGGAGTGTTGACATAGTACATTATGCCGGCCTTCTTCGTAAGTTACAAGCAATCGTCGCTATAGGATATACGTATATAGTCACAATTTATTATTCATTCATAATAATCTACTCATGTTTACAATTTTTAAACCGTATTCGCAGACACAACTTGCAACTTTATATCATTTTTAACGATAAACATTATTATAATAAAAATAGTTCCTAGATAAACCTTATGTACACGTGCTGATCTAAAAAATACGTAACATTGGCACTTTAGTGACTTTATTAAAGACATGAAAAGACGAGAGATTTATAAAGGCTGAAATAATGAGAGCATTAGCACCAGCCGGCGCCTCCACACGGAAGTTATTAACACAGATGCTCACGTCAGACGTGCGCCTCATGGACTTTCTACATCAACAACGAAAACCTCCGACAGTGAAATGTTGCAACCAAGTAAGAAAACTTCCTTCAAACCAAACAGTATTTTTTGTATCAACTTTAATTATAGTGAAATATTGCCTACAGCTGCATGAGATAGGAAAAACAATGACATTAACTGGAAGACTAATAATGAACAACTTCACGTGCAATTGCATCAAACTTTGATCATCGATATGTGCGTGGTCGCGCAAATTTTTTAATTCGTATAATGATAATGAAAATATTGGTGTGATGTGTGAAGAAAAATAATATCACGCCCATGCAGGATGTTCTCCGCTGGTCAGCCACAGGAAACAGCAATAAAAACCATGATGGACTCCCTGGACTGGGTTATATACAAGTGCTATTTCAGAGAGAGGTCAAAGTGAAGTTTGTAAATGCCTTATCAGCCATCATCTTAGATACATGAATCATGATATTTATATAACTCATTGCTCTGTTACCTAACTCCTTGCTCTGATACCTGTGTTAACTGATTGCTCTGTTATTAAATGAAGAGGGGATTATATCCATGTTATTAAAAAGCATTTACAATGCATGAACATTCTACCTTTTTCATTAAGGCGTTTTCTATGATACCTGTACAGTACACTCTGAGGGTAGTACTGTACTGTAGTGTACAGAAATGAACGAGACTTTGTCCTAATAACTATGCATTTTTCTTAACAGGGTCATCCTGATGCAGTTTAACCTCGCAAAAAGTATACCTATTAGCCATCAGGGCAACATTGTGCAGTGAGCAAGAGTCACAATTCAGAAAATATAACCCACTAATTTTCCTGGATGTACATTTTTTAGATCTGGATTTTTTCACTAAAACTGCACAGATGAATTAGGTTGGTTGCTGCAGGAAATACCGGTATATAGTACAGCTTAGAAAACATCTCATTTATCCAGCTTTATGTATCTATGATACCAAGCCAGTGATTTCTGAGAATGCCAATAGGGTTCCAATTTATTTTCTATTGACATATCAATCCAGGAGAACAAAGAAAAATATTGTATTTAGATTTAGAAGCCCAATCATGACATAAATGTATGTAGGTATATACAACAACAGTGCACTTTAGAGTTATTGATTAGAAGCAATCCGTACAACTTTCAATAACCATAACATTTGCTATTTAGCAAACAAAACACACATAAGCTCAGATAACTTCAAGGCATATAAACAAGTTATTCACAATATAATGCAAATAACTCTTCACTAATAACTGCTTTGAGGTGTTAATTGGATTGGATTACACTAATTTTGTGTTGGATAATATCAACAAAATGTGCAACTCTGCAGTCAACAAAATGTACAAGTCTACAGGCAACAAAATGTACAACTCTGCAGTTAACAAAATGTACAACTCTACAGTTAACAAAATGTACGTATAATGCTACAGTTAACAAAATGTACAACCCTACAGTTACAAAATGTATAACTCTACAGTTAACAAAATGTACAGCTCTACATTCAACAAAATGTGCAACTCTACATCCAACAAAATTGTTTAACTCTTAATGATTAATTTCTCAAGACAATTTACTTTTCATTCCAAAATATTACAATGCACAAACAAGAAACTGATTTTTGCATACCATTTCATGTCAACAATTGCATGTCATGCTCATTATTTTTTCAGCTTAGAATTGTTATTCTTGTCATAGGTAGGTATATATTTAGCAAATAACATATGAACCTGCCACCATGTAGGATTTCTAATCAATGATCAAAATCCAAGGCAAAATCAATAGCATATGAAACTGGAATTTTCATGTCATTAATATGGATGTTTTAGCCTCAATGAACCCTTAAGTTAGATGGATTATAATGAATGAATGAGGAGGGATTGAACAGATTAATTAATGGAAGCAAATCTGAGGGTGAATCAAATAAAACAATCATAATTGATGAATAAATTAGTTCAAGAACAGTTTAAGTATAATCAGCCAGATTCAATGTACATTAATCAGTGGTTTTGGAAAACAAGTCTAGACTGACTCAGCATTTTAATCAATTATAACTATCCTTAGGAAGATATTGATACTTTATGACAGACATGGAAATAAATTGGAATTTTTATGCTTATACTAGTAGTATTTTAAATAATATATATGCTAACATAGAGACTTCATCAAGATTTTCAACAATATGAAAGAAATTTGCAGACTGAAATAGCTTGCCAAGAATTGTTTGAATATACATAATATACAATCACAATAAAATTTAATTACAACACTTCTCTTTAACTTCACTTCTTGTTGTTTGTTTGTTTGTCTGCTACAAATCTCATAATCAATATTTAACACACTTCTACCTCTCCCTTCGGTCTGAAATTTTGCACACTTGCGTAAAGTTGGAGACATTGCATGAATCAATTGACAGAATCAATAATTTAAAAATTTAAAAAATTTTTATATTAAAAAGAGGGAAAAAATAATTTTATCTGCTATACATACGGTATCTTATAATCAATATTTAACACACTTCTACTTGTCCAATCACTCTGAAATTTTGCACACTTGGGTAAATTTGGAGACAATGCATGTATCAATTGACAGAATAAATAATTGAAAAAATTTAATATTCATTTTTTAATTTTAAAAATAAAATTTAAAATTCATTATTTTAATATATGATAATAAAATTAGAAATTCTTTGTACAAGCGTACCTATGTAACCTAACATCAGAGACACTGCATTCTTTAAAAGTGTTGTCTTTAAAAAGTAATTTTTAAATGAATATTATTTTTAAATAGTATAACATGGGGAAAACTATTTTATAACATTATGTAATATATCATCATGATAAAATTGTTTGCATCATTTG